AAATCGCCAGTGACCTCGTTGTCCATGAAACTGCAAACGGCGCAGGGATTCACCCATCAGAATGAATGATCGCCACCCGCCGCAACTGTTCGGAACCCGGTTGCGCAGGACGCATCGTACCCTTGCATCGGAGGGTTTTGCATGTGCCTCGGTTCTCCCGCAGATCCCGCGCCCTCACACAGCTGTAGATCTTGGCATTCATGTTCCCCTTTTGCACGAGTGTGCCGCATCAGCGGCTTGAATGAGTAGATCCGGCTGCCATGTTTCATAGAATTGTTCTAGAGTCTATACATAGAGTCTAACAATACAAGCAAGATGTAAAGTGTAGCCCGTCTCGGTCAGACAGGCTAATATGCCAAGCAGTGAGGTCGTCTGAATGTCCAACAAGCCTCGCCTAGCAAGCCCAGAGTCATGCGTGAAGCTTGTAACTCCGTGGCACTCGCCTTACTGGTAAGCCTTTGGGAGAGTACATCGCCAGTCGTTTGGATGTCGTGTCGTTTGCTGATATTACAAGTATTCATTCATTGAGCTTCGTATCACAAGAGCAAAAAGGTCTCATTTCTCCCACTTCTTGTAAGCTTTCTGCTTTTGTCGCGTGTTCCAGCCCAGCTTGCCGCTGATACTATTCACCCAGTCCTCGCTTCGTCGACCGGGAGCCTGCACCGAAGCAAAGGGATATCGGCTGGCACTAATGGTCACATAATCACCAGGCCGTAGCTCGAGTCGCTCTCTCCCGTCGAAGCTCGCCCATGAGCTGGTTCTGGCATCGTAAGGTACACCGACTCGCAGCACGATGGTGTCAGGGAGGATGATAGGTCGGAAGGAAAGAGTATGAGCACAAATAGAGGTGACGAGCATGACGGGGTTCTCTGGATGGCATAGAGAACCGCCCGCGGCTAGGTTATACGCCGTTGATCCTGTTGGTGTTGAGACGCAAATGCCGTCTGCCAAGACAGAAGTGAAGTGCTCATCGTCGCCGAAGATTTCGGTGTAGGACAGAGCTTTACCCTCTTTGTCAGTTAACAGGTATGCAAACAGGGGATCATATGAAACTCACTTGGATTTGGGCCGCGATCCACCACAATCTCGTTCAGAATCTCATACGTGCCGTCTGGCTTGTGAGTGTGCTCGTCCTCTTTTTCCTCACCAATGAGCTCCTCTACGAGATCACGATTCGCATTACTCAATGCATCATCGTCTTCGCCCGATCCTGACTCCCCTGATTGACCATCAGTGATCCTGACCTGCCTCTTCGGCTGGCTTCGCATAATTGTCCCTTCAAATCGCAGTCTTAGACTAACGGTCACTCCCTCATTAAAGGCTTTGGTCAACGTTTCTTGATAACCTTCGTAGTCGAACTTGGTCAAGAAGCCAAGGCTGCCCAGCGCAAAGCTCAGAACTGGAGGGACAATGCGCTGAAAGAGCCAGCTAGCGTAAAGAACCGTGCCGTCACCACCAAGTGTGATCACAAAATCGAACGTATGTGGCCTCGTGCGACACATGCCTTCGTCCCACCACCGCATGCGCCTATTAAGATCTTGGCTGTTTTCCTCCTCTAATTCGCCTGCTGCAACATAATCCTGGCGAAGTTCCTCTAGCAGACCTGCTGCGTCGAACTTCTTATTGGTTTTCAGATCTCGCTCCAGATACACGGTGTACTTGACGTCCCTCTCTTTGTCTAACAACCACTTGACAAGCTCGCGTGTCTTTGGAATAAGGTCTTGGTCATAAATCTTGGTAAGAATGAAGATCGTTTTGACTCTGAACTTGAGTCTCATGCTTCCCAGCCGACGGCTGAGCTCTCGTACACCCCAAGCCATCTCACTCAGTTGTTTTTTGGTCAGCAGGCGGCTGTGTAACTCGTCATGATCGATGGTGGCGCCGTTCTTATCTGACCCCGATTTCACGAGCTTATGTCTCCACTCCTTCTGGTCTACCTGGCCTACATCGCTCCCTTCACTGTCGGCGGCATCGAGGACGGCAAGCTTCTTTCGATGGTCGCTGTTGTTCGTTGAACCTTTGGGCTCGACAACTTGGTCCTGGTCCTCGGCTACGGCCTCGACACCTTCGATCCTGTGGGGTTTATACGGATGTTGCACATGATAATCATGATGATTGTAACCTTCTTCGGGTTTGTTATGCCCCACTCTCCTTTGACCCTCAAGAAATTGGTGGACTAAGCACTGTGTTTTGTCGTGTACATTATGGAGTTTCGGGACAGGTGCTTCGGTGGTAACAAGTGAACTCTTCCGACGATAGGGATTACCTGGATCGAAAGTGACCTAAGATATGGCAAGACAATATATTAGCTACGTGTCATTTTGCGTTCCCGGGGTCAAAGATCAACCTACCTCGACCGCCTTTTGGTCCTCATCACTCGCGCTTGAGTGCGCCTCCTGGTCAAAGGAGATGTGCTTTGCGTGCTTCTTCTCACTCATCCTGCCAGCGATCAAAGGGAGAAATAATACAGGACAAAGAGTATCTAACACAGAGACTAATCCTGAAAGACGGCCCTAGGATCGCGACAGAAGTGAGGAACTCGGAACGAGAGAAGGCGTCAGTTTGATGTTGTTCTGAGGGGCATTTGTTGTAGGTTAATTGGGGTGGTGGGGGAAGGCGTCCACCCTCGACGTAATGTAGGCTGCTGATTCATGGCTGCATACCCCAAGCTGTACCTTGTGGTGCTGCTGCGCTATACCAGGAATAGGCAAGCGTAACAGCTCTTAATGGGAAGCCTCAGGCTCAGGTCGTCCGTATTCGACGGTGATTGGTCGCAATGTGTTCATCTTCAGATCCAGGCGATCAGCTTCCTTCAGAGAAGGTAACCAATAAGCCACTCACTTTGACCTTGTTTGCAGTGTCTACTGTAGTAGACTCCCTGTAGCGACTTGCATTAGAAGACCGTTAATTATTCTAATTGAATTGCACAATTGGTATTCGAATGGTGTGAGCGTTGTGAAGTTAAACTTCCAACACAGGAAGTGTTAGTCTAAATGACTTTGGTGGTAGTACATCACAATCTGAAGAGTCGAAGACACTTTAAAAAAAACCTCATAAGCTCCAGATCCATTAATCCAATATCTCCTCTGTCCCTTCTTTATATCCTGTGGGTCTGTTGCCTTACTCTATCCTGCGAACCTAACAGTTAATGTCTAGCGATTTGCTGAAAACATCCAGTTTCACGATATTTCGCAGCCTTCATCAGCTGAGTGCAAGTCTTCATTTATAAGAATATATCGTCAATGCCACACAATAAACCACGAGTATTATTTTCAGTCCGTGCCTACTCTATGTCTAATGCCAGGGAGCAACGCGCCCAGCCTATATTCCGGCCCCAAAGCCTTCATCTGCACCTGCGTCCCACGCAGAGCTGTACTTTTGCAGCTCTGGGCTTACTGAATGGTCTTCTCAACCAGGAAGATGCCATACTTCTCCTTCAGTTCCTTCATCAATGGGTCGTTGATCTTAGAAGACATGGGTGCTAGAATACCCTTGTCGGAGATGGTACCGTCGAGCACCTGCTTGACGGCCACACCACATGGCTATGGCATCTAGAGTCAGCGATTGTCTGATAGGAAGATTGAAACAGCGGCAAAACTCGAAAAGAAATATGTAATTACGTACCACACCAACAAGTTTCGCCATAGCGGAATATCCCTTCGGATCACCGTACTCGGCCAGGGTAGAGGTCCTTGTCTCTCGGGATCCATCGGCGTGCTCGATGAGGAACTTGTGCTGCAGCATGACAAAGTCACGCTCGCCCTCCTCGAACTGCATCTTCTTCTCCAGCTGGGCACAAAGGGTGTCCAGGGGGTTGCCGCGGGGGATGATCTTCTCATCGGAGAAGATGCCAATCCACGACAGGCCGCTGATGATCCTCTCCTTATCCTCGGGAGACTCGAAGGTCGCCTTGTCCAGAATGGTCTTCTTCAGGTCCTCCACCGATGTGGAGGGGGCACCGATGACCTGCTTGGTGGCCTCGGCCCAGGTGATGGGCTGGGTCAGAGTTTCGGTGGCCGCATCGGAAAGGAAACCAATGTCGACCAAAACTTTGATGAACTGAGGGAAGCCCTGATATCTCAAGGTTCCACGGACAACAGTCTCGGCCTCGGGAATGTTATATCTCTGCTTATAAGGGGTAGAATCACGGTTCGGGTAGGCAACGAAAGCGTAGCCGGGGTAGATGAAGTATGGCTTGGCCACAGCCATCAGCTCCGGGCCAGAGACCTCGACGACCGAGCCATCCTGCCAGTACTTGGCATCGTTGCGTAGAGCCAGCAGAACACCGCGGGAAGACCAAGAGAACTTGTAACCCAGCGGGTTATCCGAGTCCTCGGGCGCCGGAAGCCCGCCACAGTAGCTTTTGAAAGAAATAATCTTGCCTCCAGCCTTGTGCACCTCGTCGATGGTCTTCACAGCGTACAGATGGTCGATACCCTAAGAAGAAAAATATGATTAGCTATGCGCCACCTTGTGAGCCGGAGGAGGCTGAAGAGGAGCCCGAACCGGATCAAGACCAATCTCGTTCATGACGGTAATGCCAGCCTCCTTGGCCGCAGCATCGAGCTCCAGCATGGCAGGGCTGACGTAGCTGGTCGTGACGACATGCTTCTTGTTGCGGATAGCAGACTTGATGACGGTGGCGTGGTACGTGTAAGGGATCAAGCTGATGACAAGGTCATGCTTGGCAACCTCAGCGTCCAGGGCCTCCTGGTTGTTGACATCGAGGGAGATGGGGTGTGCGTTCTTGACGCCAGAGGAGAGCTTCTGGGCTGCTGTGAGTGTCCTGCACGCTGGGAAGGGGTCAGCTCCATGGACATTGACCCGGGACGAGCGTATCGGGTGGCAGGATACACACCAACAGCGACTTGGATGCCTGCGTCACTAAGGATGTCGAGCGTTGGCTTGGTGACGAAGCCAGCACCGAGCATGAGCACGGATCTATGGGCATCACGGCAATGGTCAGCAACCCGTAAACCCCCCACCATCCAAAAACGCCTCAAGCGCAGAGACGGTCTATTTTCTCTCACCTTTGGGAAGCCATTTTTGCTGCGTCCACTTTCTCAATGTCAATGGACCCTCAAAATTCTCTCTCTTGTGCTAGACCTCAATTTCGCAAATATCCCAAGCTGGTGTGAAAACTTTTGTGACTCAATGTGAATTACGTACCGATAACGGACATCAACGTTTCGGTCGACCCCTCAGGGTACGTACTTTGGTGGGGTTGACGTGAGGACCAACCTGGCTGTCGAAAAATTTCTGTGCGAATTATTTCCAAAGCTTAGGGACGGTAGCTAGAAGTATCCGACCGTGAGTAAAGTGTGGTGAGGTACATTTCGGTACGGGCGGCGCGACCCTCTCTTCAGATCGATGGAAAAGTTCGGGAAACCACCGGCCCACGCGAAAAGAGTGGGGTCTTTGACAGGGGTACCTCGCGGCTCTTGCATTTGACAGGGGTGTTTAGTGAGGGGCAGAGTTTAACGCTGGCCCGTGCACGTACTTCAGGGCAATTTCCACAATTGATGATGCCTCTTGCGTACCTCCCTCCTCTCTTACCTGCATCCATTCCGATGCCAGCCTAGGCCGTAGTGCCCATCAGATAGCTCAGGCTTTCGGAAGGCGCGGTGTTTTGTGTGCCTTTTAGCCTTTCATTACGTCTCGTACTGGAATGTCAAAACAAGATTTGCTCATAGTAAAACTCATTCACTTTGGTCAGGGGAAAACATCGGGTATCTCAAGATATTCATTCAATTTTATTAGCTAATCTACATTGAGGGTATCATGCCGCTACTCTTTTTCTCAGACCCGGGCCGTCGACGGCAAACCTTTTCTGAAGAGGCTCCTATACCAAACCATTCCCAAGCCGTCCCAGGGTATCCATTTGATTGAAGTCGTGCCTATGCAGCCCATATCTAAATTTGGTGGTGTAAGGAGATTCGTCACTATGCCGAGACCATCCCATCCGCGGATTGGGGATATTCTAGCCGTTCAAGATTCATCATCTTCCTGGTCTTCTCCATTTGCATCCTCCTCTCCGTCTTGGTCATCCTCGTCATCATCCATAGCCGGCGGTTCCCAGGCAGCCTCCAGCTTCAAGCCCTTGCCTGTTGGCTCAGGGTAGTCGAAGGACGATCCAAAGAGGGATGAGCCGTTTTGATTCATATTCAAAATCGTCTTTTCTGGGGTATCATACAGACCCATTCCGATCAACACCTCGCCATCGGCTTCCTCGTCCTCCAAAGGCTGATATGGTATGGACTCGTCTGATGCCAGAGTTGGCTCGGGTTGGTTGAGCGGAATGAAGTCCTCCGGCGTAGGAGGTGCAGTGACTTGATTGAAACCATGAGTAACAAATTTATTCCAGTCTCCTGGACACTCCTGGGCCGTCTCTAAGGATTGCGTCATCGGTAGAGGCGCCAAGGCGGCGGTGCTCTGACATTCGACATGTGTAGTAGATTCTGGTGCAGCCGACACGCTCCAGTCACCAGTTGAAAAGTACTGAGGCGCCTCGTAACCGGAATATGGCAGTGACAGAGGTGAGAACGCGATTGATGGCGATGTATATCCCGAATAGGCAGCCGGTGTAGGTGGAAATTGATGCATGTTTGTAAAAAGATCGGCGTCATTGTATGAGGGAAAGGGATATTGAGTTGATTGTGGTACAAAGACTTGCGGTTGAGGGTATTGTGATGATGATGGGTGCCAGCTGACAGGACGTGATGTCCTTTTCGTCAGGTCCAAGCAACCGTCGGAATAGATATCAGTATCAGGTGTTGGCAGAAAGGGTTGGTCTGGAAGCGGCTGATTTCTCCTGAAAAGCAGGCCATCGTTTATGAGAGTTCGTCTTCGTTGTTGCATCATGGAATTCCTGGGACTGTTGTTTGCACTGCTCGGCTTTACCACTCTCATAGCATTCCCTACCCGTTGACCATTGGATCCGCGGGAGAGACGTCTAGCAGTAGCGGACGAGGCAAGCTGCCTTGACAAGTCTTCGAAGAAGGCATCGGTTGCATAGGTGGACTGTGTTGTGCCAGGAAGGCTCACACCGAGTATAGACTGCATCATCTTGACCGAGCAACTGCTTAGGTTCGGACGTGACAATGTGATGGTGTGTCGACGGGCGAAGACATGTGAGATAGAATATATGGCTGAATGGGACTGATGAGAACAGGTCGAGGACTGCGGCCTGTTTTATGGATCATGTGCGAGAGTCAAGTAGTGCAGGGACAAGGAGCTAAAGACATGACCAGATGGAATGGCTCGAAGGGTTAAAGGCGACTAGCCCGAGCAATGGTAACGTGGGGATATTGGCGCGGGAAGAGCAGAAGTGATAAAATGGAAACGGGGCTGTTTGGTATGTGTATGTCTATCACGGTCTTGGGGCCGTGACCGAGCCGGGGGGTGTGGGTGCGTCTTCCAGAAGGAAGGGAGCTTGCGGTTTGTGTGGGAGGAGTTAGAGGAGGCAGTGGCCTGCGTCATGGTCCTAGCAGGGGTCTCACATTATTCCTTACCACGAAGATGTAAAGGGTATCTGACTCTAGAGTAGCTTGGATCAAAGGCAAGAGACGGAGGGAGCGAACAGCAATAGCCTTGAATGTGAGATTGCCAGACACCAAAAGGTGGACCGGGCAGGGTTGGCTTGAGAGGGTTGCCTGTAGGTGTTAGTGCAGAGCGAGGTACTGAGATACATGTTATGCGCCCTCCCTCCCTCCTCTCTAGATTATACTTGGTATTCGAGTAGTTTAGTGTGTGCGGCAGTGGATGTGGATGTGGATGTGGGCATGGGCATGGGCATTAGGCATGGGCATGGCCTGGGGGAAGGGAAGGGAAGAGGATTACGGGCGGGCCTCAGGGTGACGAGGTTTGGATAAAGAAAGAAAGTTGAAAAGCAAAAGGTTCGGGCGGACTGCAGATTTGCATCAGAAAAACATCCTAGCCGCTCACGTTCGACTCGATCCCTGTCCTCCGCCCCGGCCTTGACGGGCTGCCACAAAAGGGCACTGCAGTACAGTACGAGAGTACGTACCTTTGAAGCCAGGGAGTCCGCTACCCAGTAGAGGACACTACGACGTACCCTCGGCGCCGTCCATACAAAGTACGTGTCTACGAAGGTGGAGGGCGGGACCATGTCACTGCGGTACGGGCGAGGTACGAAACGAGAGTCCGCAGTACATAGCCTGGACCGGCGATCCAAGTAGAAGATCCGTGGCAGATTCCCCGAATTCCTCGCCGCTTGGCGGTATCGAATACTTGAGCTGAGAGTAGATTTCTGGACGGGCGAGTATCCGGTTGGTATGCAAGACAGTCAACTTCCCGGATGAGCGAGAGCGAGGAGAGGATGAATGCAGCAGGCTGCTGTCTTCTGCTTTGTGGTGCTATGCTGTGCCTTGAATTCCCTCTGACCAGGTAGGAGGTTTCTGAGAACAAACGGCAGTCAGGTACGTACCGGAGCAGAAAGGAAAGAATAAGGAAGCTACTACTCTCCAGTACGTATGTACTTAGGTACTTGCGAGGCAGGTAGGGGCAGGAGCCTCCTCCGTCCGTTACCATGTTTTTGGCAGTGGTGGAGCGTGGCATGGGATGGCATGGATGGGATGTGGAATTTCTCGCGGCTGGGTCCCCGCGTATCATAATTCGAGACGGCCCCAAACCACCAAACCAACGAGAAGCAACCTCACCAAGCCCACCCACCACCTCGCGACCGCCCTGAGCCCTGAGCAGGTTGCACAAGGGAAGGATTAAGGTTGCAAGGGCTGCTGGGATGGCGGGGGGACCTTAGGATGGGTGGGGGGGGGGCGCGAGAGCGACCGAGCAAGAGACGAGTGCGTCTGAGCCAGCGATCGATGCTGGGCTGGGACGGACGGGCCAAGCTCCCTACCTCATACAAAGTCCGGTACAATGTACTGAGGGTGAGCGTAGCGAGACATGGGCGCCCAGAGGCTCGCGTGGCCACTCGTTCAGGCAAAAGTCCCCCTTGCACAGGCGGATGCGTCCACCAACAGTGATTCAGACCAGCTTGGACCACGACTTGCCGAGGAGGGAGTGCTTGAGGGTGAAGCAAGAGGGGCGTGATCTGAGAGAAACGCTAGCGTCGTGCAAGATGATCGGTGGGCTGTCAAGGATGGGAGGTTTCTGTTTTTACCCATGCTCGCCGCCATGGGCATGGGGAGAAGTGAAGGGGGGAAAAAAAAAAACAGCGTGAGGGAAAAAGAAAAGGGACCGTCATCATCCACAATGAAACCTCCCCCTGCCCAACACACTAACATAGTCCTGTAGGACACAGCACCACCGAGTACTGCACGATCATGTATTGCTCGTACCCTGTCGAGAATACTCCTCTGCGCGTACGCAGCACCATGCACCACCAGGCGGTACCATTAGGCACTCTAATAATACACTTCAGTACCTCCATGCAGGAGAGAGTCCGCTTCCTTGACGCCTCGAACTCAAGCCCCGACTGACTGACGGACTGCCTGAGTAGGGCAATGTACGCCAAACCATCTTGGCGTGCAACCTTGCCCTCCAAGCCTCCCCGCCAGGATTGCGTAGAGCTTCAACAAGGCAGCCACAATGGATATCTTGTCGACACTGTAGGCGAGTTGGAGTGAGTCTCGCCTACATGTCGCGGAGTGAAGATGATCATCTGGCCGAATGCGCCTAGCCTTTGCCTTGAAGGACTGAATCTGAAAGTGGCAACTCTTGCTGGATGCTGCGGAGCGGTCGATAGTCCGTGATAATACCAAATTGTCCGTCCTGGTGACCTTGCCTGTAAACTGTGGTCTCTGTCTTACTGGGGCTAACTATGCAGAACCTCAGGACGGCCCTGCAGCGGATGAGCAGAACAATCTGCCGCCCGGTGCAACTTTCCGTCCCCTTGCTAGTAGTACTCGAGTACACTAGAGTAAGGGTAAATTGGGGTTTTTGATAGGGGCTGCCTGCACCTTTCCCTGGACGCAAACACCCCCCCGTGACCCTCTATCACACACAACCCCGTGAAAGCACGGCACATACCTGAGATGAAGGCCGACTGGGATTTCTGGATCTGGTTGCTACGACACACGGCTTGCCAGCTCATCTTCTCCATCTCAGTCGTGGCTTGTGGGAGGATGATGAGTGGATGCTCCAGGGAAATCAGGGCATGGAATTCCGCCTGCTGGGAGTTGCCGCTTGCCACGGGGTTTACTTCCTAATTCAACGGGCGGATCGGTCTGTGCCTTTGTCGGTCGGTCATGCTCGTTTGCTCATCTCTGTATCATCAGAGCTCGAAACCACTATGGTCAAGGAACAACTGCATGCCTGATTACTGGCTATAGACCATGCTTTGCGGCCAAGCAATCTCGACCAACTACCGTGCTTCAGTACCGTACGTGGTAGTATTGATGTGTTTTTTTCTCCCTTCATCAACCACACGCGTGTCCATCTTGCTGTGAACGAGTACAGCGATAGCCACATTCAAACCACCCGAGGCT